GTGGGGTGTGTGGACCTTTGGGGTGGTGTTGTGGGGGGGGGGGGGGAACACAAAACAAACCCCAGCTTAAAACTGTTTTCCTTGGAAACTGGCCGAGGAGACCTTGGCAGGGTGGAGGTGCAGGAGATGATGACCTGGGTTGTCCTCCTGGTACCCGTGCTGCCGGCCCAGGGCCGGGGTGAAGCACTGCTGGAGCGAGGATGGCAACGCCGCCGTGCATGCCGTTAACGGGTGGCCCATCCCGCCCATCACCTCCACGTCAGGGCCCGTGGGCAGAAGCCACCGAGGCATCTGAGCGTGTCTGATGTGGTGGGGAGAGGAGGGGGCCCACGGCCAGCTTTCGGCAGCAGCCGTTTGGACGGGCTGCAGAGGGGATGGGTGCAGGTTTCGGAGGTGCAGGCAGCTACGAAAGCTTTCAAAGCGTGGCAGAAACGAGGCACGGCCGCCACGTGCGCTGTCCCAAGGGGTTCCTGGGGCACCGGTGGTGGAGGCGGGTGGGTCAGGAACTGGGACGTGTTCCCTGCTGAGGGGATCTGCAGGGAAAACGGGGAGCTCTGATGTATGATGGGTCCTCTGGGTGTTTGCCCCTCAGGAATTGCAGTGGAAGGAGGGGGCTCTGCTTTGTGAAGGAGAGGCAGGCTGGTGGGCCGTCAGTTCCTGAATTAGGCCTGCAAAGGGCAAGTGAAGACGGTTCTGCCACCCCTTGCAAGCTCAGTGCTGTCTGCAAAGAGGCCCTAAGCTGCTTCACGGTGGACACCCCTAAACCCACTGGTCAGCCGACAGCGTTGGGGTTTTGGTGGCTGGGGGGACACGAGAAGCTGGTGGAGGGTCCCTGACCTCCTGTTGGCTGAGACCTCTCCCCTCCCTGGTCTGCTCCTGCAGCTCTGCATCGCGGGAAGGGGAGATGCCAAGGGTTGGTGGGGCGGAGCGGGGTCTCACCCTGATGGCGGAGGTCGCGGGGGGTGCCGAGGGCACGTTTCCTTAGGGCAAATAGCGAAGCGAGACCACAGCTGCAGTCACAGGAGGGATTTGAGAACCTGATGGTATCTACTTCATCCCCAGCTCCCCCGGACCTCCCGCTGTGGCCCGGGTGGCACTTGCCCTTCCTCCTCCTGACCAGATGTGCATCACCCAGGCTCTGCCCAAAGCAGGCGCTGGGCTGGAAGGGGCTTTTTTCCCCCCGAGGGAATGGTCCT